TAAACCAAAGGAGGAGGCTGCAATGCTTGGTAAGAAATGTACGCATTATCCTGCCCATGTAATTGTAACCCCTCTGTACAGTATGTTCACAAATAAAAAATTAATTAATTAATTAATTAAAAAAAGAATTATTTGTTTCATTGCATAGGGAACTATTAAGAAAGAATGAAAAAAATCAAAAGACTCAAAATGGAATTAGGAAACATGTAAAGTGAGTTTGAATTTGACACGACTACCAATTAATGGAGCAGATTCTCTGGAAGAAGTTGACATGACCTAATAAGCATTATTAAAAAATCTAACATTTCCACTTTCATAAAATTTTGTGGGCCAGCACAATAGAGACAGATGAACACACACACAGATATATAGTACACAAATGTGCAGAAGTGGACCTTTGTAAACACTTCTATCTCTCAGCAGATGACTTTTATCAAGGTGTGGAGATTGTTGAATGGACAAGCAAAGTTCAGCAGAGATGCAAGCTTGGTGGTTCTCAGGGGAGGACCACTTTCTTCTTCTTTGTGCAGGTGAAGAGGAGGCTGCAGGGAGTGGAGTGTCCACTCATGAGCAGGAAAGGGCAGAGGGATGGAAAGCAGCCCATAGCAAACACCGAGATATGGTGCAGCACAGGGCTGGGGTTGTAAATCACAGACAAGCAAGTCTGACAGATGCAGGACATGGTATAAAAGGAGACAAAGGTGCTCAACAGGAGGAGGATGATTATGGTAGCTCTGGACTCGAGAGAGGCTCTGGTGGAGACGCTGATCCTCTGGATGTGTCGCATTCTCTGCTTATGTCTGTACAGGATAAAAAGCATGGAGGTGCTGGCCAAGAGCATGAGCCCCAGACATAGAACATCAGGCAACGAGAGCATGACCACATACACCACATCAGCAGCTGGGCCGTGACGCACGGAAGAACAGTATCCATAGGCCTTAAAGCTTGTCATGTTCTCGTATGCTTTGGGTCCAGTCATGAACTTGAGATTAACAATGCTCACCAGGAGGAAAACCCCCCAGCTGAGGTAGACAGTGGAAACAATGTGCTTGTGGGCTCTCCCCTTCAGCCCTGCCCACCTGGAGTGCCCTTGGCTGATGCTGACAGCAAGGAAGATGCTCAGGGAGCAAGTGCTACTGATCGACACCCCCCTGCCCACTCGGTGAAGATAGAAGACCATTTTGCACTGCACATCATTGAAGAAATTTCTCCAGCCCCAAGCCACCATGGTTTGGGGAACACTCCTACACAGAAGACATAGGAAGTTGGCCACAATTAAGTGCCTAATAATCAAGTCTGTGGCTCTCATTCTGTTCCCCATGCAGGAAAGGAATAGACAATGGGAGAAAAGAGACAAATTACCCACAAACCCAACCACTGTCTGGCCTAAGAGGATCAACCCCATAAACACATGAGCATCTCCCATCCTCTCTGTTCTTTGAGTCTCATTCAAAGGCTCTGGCTTGGGAAACTGAGGCCTGCATGGTGCCAAGGGAACACAACATGCTCCATCCAACCTTCAAACCACTGGAAATGCTCTCCTACTGTCTCTCATGTATTAGGAAAAATCCAATTCTATTCATCCATTGGGAAGTGGAAAATGGCATATTCAGGGAAATGGGTGAACCTGGAGAAATAGCATTAAGGGAAGGTGAGTCTGGTTCTGAGGTGAAGGCGGCTGCATTTCTCCTCTGTAGAATCAAATCTAAGATTCTAAATAAGCAAGGAGCTAGTGGATCAAGACTGTAATCTTAGCTACTCAGAGGCTGAGACCTTGGATTCCCAATTCAAAGCCAGCCCAGAGAAGGAAAGTCTCTGAGACTCTTCTCTCCAGTTAAGCACCAGCAAACTGAAAGTAGATATGTGGCACAAAGTGGTAGAGGGCTAGCCTTGAGCAAAAAGGGCTCAAGGAAAATGGGCAAGAATCAAGTGCAAGCTCTCTGAGTGACTAAAGAAAGAAACATGAAACATGCCTGACATGTTCCCAGGGTCACATGCACTTATAGTTCAATACCCTGGCTGCAGGAGTGGGTTCCAGGTGTCATCCTTTCCTCCACACGGAGCCCACATTTCACAGAAGAAATACCAGGAAGATGAACCAGGTTTGCATTGGGGATGTTGCAGGTTAAGAAGGAAGTGGATCACAGAGACAGAGTGGGCAATTTTGGGGTCAAATGACATGCTAAAGTCGCTGATGTGAACACATCATCCCAAGCCCCTAGACAATCAGGATACCTCCTAACTTGTCATAAACCAGGACAGACTCTGTGAGGGGAGACGAAGTTAGGAACCAACAGGACTTGAGGGGTGAGGGGCCTGGAACCCCTGTTCTTTTCACTGTCCTAGCCCATTCCTATCCTTCCCTGTTTCTTTATTATGCAACTGGGTTCAATCAAGAATCCCTGCTCCTAAGGTGATACCTTACCCAGAGTGTGGAACCTGGGGTCTCTCCTGCAGGCTGCGCCTCTCCAGTGGCAGTGAACACAAGTGCTCGCCTCTTCTCTCAGGATGTGTGTGGCAGGGTGGGTCATTTCTGAGATGCACATGGGCACTTCAGAGCTGCATAGGGCTCCTTAGATAGGGGTCCAGGAGGGTGGCAGCTGAGGTCGTCTCCCTCGAGAGCAGTGATTTTCCCTTCACCTGGTGTGGCAAGCCAAATTCCCAGTAAACTTTTTCTTTTCCCCCATGTGACAATTATCAAGACACTTTTCACTTTCATGTGGGTGCTTCTCCAGGGGGCAGGGAAGTGGTGCAGTCACTTACCTCTCCTGGATCCCAGTAGGCCGGCAGGAGACACTGAGGCCCAACTTGAGATGACTGTCTGTAAACAACCTCAGCGGTGTGTAAGCCATGTGTCCCCAAAGTTTCTTACCCAAAGTGTCCCTTCTCTTTTAGTTTTTTCAGTTCTGAGACTTGAACTCAGGTCTTGGGCACTGTTCCTGAGCTGCTTTTGCTCAAGGCTAGCACTCTACCATTGGCGCCACAGCACCACTTCTGGCTTTTTCTATGTAGGTGCTGCTGAGGAATTGAACCCAGGGCTTCATGCATGCTAGGAAAGCAACCTACCACTGAGTGACCTTCCCAGCTGTCTTCATCTCAGTCTCCTTTTCTTTTATATCATATATGCTATTAGAAAAGAACAATGGATCCCTGTACTGATGCAATCTCTGGAGCCTGATATCAAAAAATCAAGGTTCAAAGCCAGCCTGGTGAAGAAAGCCCATGAGATTTTTATTTCCTATTCTTATCTCCACTCTCTATTGGTAGAGTGCCAGTCTGGAATAAAAGAGCTCAGCAACAGCATCCAAGCCCAGAGTTCAAACCCCTGAACTGGCACAAAAAAAGAAAGAAAATAGAATGAGACATTCCTGTACAGGATTTTCTTTGCCAATAATGGCCATTTTTTTCTAAAAATGTTTTCATCCCTAGAGACCCCATTTCGAGATTAGAGGTCAGCATTTTCTGCATATTCCTGAAAGCAGGGTGATGAGTGATCTCTTTTCATGCCTGGTTGTTTCTGAGGAGGTAGCTTCATTCTCTAATTCCCTAGTCATTTTCATCATTATCAGTGGTGATTTTGAAGCAGAAATTTGACAATGCGCTCAGGAGAGGATCAGCAGTGACTCCTCACCCTGGGTGTCTGCTGCAGTCTTGAGCTGCAGACCTCTCGACCCCATGCTTTGTCTTATGTCTTTATTTTTCTCCTCCTTACCCCCTAATTCAGGATTCCCTTTGGTTGCCGGCAGGCTCCGGGAAGTGGCGCCCAATTAGGGACCTGAAAACCTGCGTTCAAGGCAGAGGACCCCGCTAAGGTAAGAAGATGCGCCCGGAAAAAGAGAGTGGGTGACAGTATAGTTGGGAGTAAGAAATTATGGGGCACGGTAAGAGCCGCATGTCACATATACAGGCTCTTAAGCGTAGGCTTCAACCTCGAGGAGTGAAAGTTGGACAGAGGCAGTTAGAGAGTTTCATTCACTTTGTCAAGGAACTATACCCCTGGTTCCCAGAGGAAGGAACCATTAGTTTAGAAACTTAACAAAAAAAATGGATAAAACGATTCAGTGACACTATGGTGCAAATGGCCTGTAAGTTAAAACATTGCTGCTTTGTGATTGTCTGGTATCTGTGTAGCCTGCAGGTTCTGTATTGGAGTTGGCAAGAGTCTTGGTGGATGCACTATAAGACAGCCAACTGCACTCAGGGGAGATGTCCCCTGATCCTCATCAGGGTAAACTATCCAGTAGTGTGGACATTTGGGCCTGTCTGTAGTCCTACACTTTCTGTCTGACATTCTACAACGCGCATGTTGTAAATGTGTTTTGTCTCAATGTTTGTGTGTATGTATTTTGGAATTCTTAGAATGTTTCTTCTCTCAGATTCATCCTGATGTGAGAGCCTGGAGGAGACTGGCTAACACACCCTTTTAATATCTGTTTCTCTCTAGCTCTATCTTTGTTACTTACGCTTTAACCTGACCCGCCCCCCCTTTCTACCCTTCACTGCCACCTCCTCCACCCTCTCTGGATCCAGAAGTAGGGACGTGGTGGAGGGTGAAAAACCTGGAGGATTTAACAATAACTTAAAAGTGCTGGCAAGGAGAACTTGCAGCCTGATGAAAATGCCACTGACCACTTGCAAGTGACACCAGCAAGATTTTAGCCTCAGGTCTTGGCCCAGGTGGTCTGAGTATGGGGGAGAACCTGTCAGTCTGAGGGGACGGCCACCAGGGACTTCTTTCCCTTGCCCCAAGATGACTGGGAATTCTCCTCCACCTTGGAAGGCACCTGGGTCAACGTTTGCAGGAATCTAAAAGAAAAATCCTCCAGAGGTGAGTAGAGGAGGTTCGAGTCACCGGGTCAGTGGATATCAGTTCCACTTGTGAATGGTGGTGAGATGTTGCCCCATTCACTGAGACCTGATTTTGTCTTTGTGGCCTTGTTTGTCTTGTTTACTTCGGTGTGTTTTCTGTTCTAGGTTTTCTGAGGTAGGGAAAAAATGGGGGCCCATTAGCCCCCAACTCAGCCTTTGGTTGTTGTCTTGTCTAGTTCTGTTTTAGAATTGGTACCAGTTTTAAATGTATGTACAACTGATTTTGACTTTTTGCACACTTTAAGGTCTGTGTGTGTTTTGTATGTGTTTGTGAACATATTTAATATAAGGATTATCAGCATGCTGTAACAATTGGGTGAGTTTAAGTTTAAAATTTAAAAGGTAATGAGGTTTGGACATTACCAAAAATTTTAAAGAATTTTCATATTGTTTTGAAGGACCTTTTAAGGATTCTTTAACTTAAAAAATTAAAAAATCTGATATTTTAAAATGCATAAGGCTGTTTACACTGTAATCAAGTTATCTGGCTTAACACAAATGCCTTGGCTCTTTGGAATTTCTTTCCCTTGGCTAAAATTTGGGAATAAATATTAGCAGTTTAAATATAAAAGTTTGTTTAACACTGTCAAATACACTACCTGTTGTATCTGTCTAAAACTGTGTATTTTCAATCAAAAACCAGGAGATAAGAAATGGAAAAAACTTAAAAGCCAACAAAAGACCTATCTTTAGGGGTAAAGGGTAGACAGCCAAAAGTGCAGTTCAGCTGGTCATACATGGTGGGATGGGCCATGGGAGGAGTCCACACATGGTAAAAGAAGACAAGCTGGCACAAACGCAGTTCATCTTACCCTAAAGAGTGAGACTAGGTGCATGCCAAGTGGTCCAGCTTTGTTCTGTCCTTTTTCTCTACAGATAAATATTAGAAACATGATAGTAAAAATTAGTGATGTGTTGGTCTGATTAGTATTGCTAAAACTGCCCCTTGGACTTAAAACGAGGGTTAAAAAATGTATTTGTATAATGTGACTTGCTTTCAATGATGTTCTACAATTAGGATATGTTTTTAAAAGTCATAAAGGTGTTAAGTCTAGCTTCTTGGTACAGGGATGGTGATTGTAATTCTTGCATTAAGGAAAAATTGTCATTTGAGTTTAAAAGTTTTCATGTGTACTTGTTTTAAAACAAGCAGCCAAGAGACAATGAGTGACACTTGCCCTCAAGATTTTAAGGGATTTTTTTAATGTAACTAAAAACTAAAATATAAAGGAATAAAAGAGATTAATAGGAGGCTTAAAAATTACTAATGGATTCTGGATATAAAGTTCAAAAGTAAAATTGTTCTTAACATTTGCCTCAAAGTGGAAATATTAAGATTACCAACATAATTGCTTAATTGCCATTCCAGTTTGCTCTTATAAGTTTTTTAAGTTTCCAACAAGCCCAGAGCAAAGCACAGAGGATTCTTACAAGTTTGTCAGATGTAACTTTGGCTCTTAATAAGTTTCAGGTAAGAGCATGCTTAAAAGCGACTTCTATGTTGGCCACCTTGTTGCTTTTAATTGGAGTAAAGTGGCCTTTTATAAGACTCATTGATCTGCAAACTGGTTCAAAGCCAGCCCCTGCAGAAAAAGGTCCCTGTGAGAATGTCACCACTACTCAGAAGAGTTGCCTTGGGACTCAAAGTGGCAGAGTGCTAGCCTTGAGCTGTAAAGCTGAGGGACAGGACTCAGACCCCGAGTTCAAGTCCAGCAACCAGCTAAGAGAATGCAAATCAGGCATTTATCCCAGTTTAGAGAAGACACTCCTGGGACAAGAGCAATGGAGGAGCATCCAGAGGAGTAAGCCACTGCTTGGATGGTAGAAATGTCAGATCCTACAGTCTTTTGTGCATGGCCCTTCAAAAATTGGTCAGAGCCAGGAGGTCATGGGAAGATAGGTTGTAAGCATGTCTCATGTCCATGGCTACATTGTTGGGACAGAAACTTGTTAGTAGTCTGTGATAGTACTAAAAAGCTAAAGTTATAAAATGTGGGGGATGGTTTAAATCCCAACCCCTGTATGTGCCAAAAGCCCTAATTGACAGTAGCTTTTGAGCTAACACCAGCTACATGAAATTTATCTGTTCAAGAAAAAAGTTTGTAAACCGAAGAGTGTGTTTCTATTAACATCTGTCTAAAGGCCTGCACAGGTGACTTAGGCATTGTTAGGGTCACTAGCGGTCACATTCCTAAAGATGCTATTACAAACCAAAGTGCTAAACAAACTACACTGCTGTAGCCAAAAAAAAAGTCTGTGCATTTGTCAAAAGTTAAAAAATTGTTCTTAATGACATCTAACCCTGGTAACCTCTTTGTAAAATAGACTAAGGTTATAGGTTCCTGGCTGGGTAGGAGCAACACCCTGAGTCAGCTTGAAGAAGTTACAGAAGATGAATTTTCACCCATCATCCCCTTTTTAGAACAAGGGACCAGAGTCATAAAAAAAAATTTGGCAAAATGAACAGAAGCACAAGGCATGGAAAATAGTAGTACAGGCCTGAGCCCTCTAAATCTGCCTAGAAAATCAGCCCTATTAAAAGAACTATCTAGTTAAAAAGGTTGTCATCTTGGTAAATTGTCCTGGGCTATTGTCAAAATAGTCCTAAAAACTAGTGGAGCGAGGGGTGGGGGCTGGGCCTCCTTCCAGGTTCTGAGTGCTGAGGTTTACACTCTCCATATCAGCACCACTTCCTTGTAGGTCCTTTGCTTTGCTGTTCCATGGGCGTCCCGTGTAGCTCTGGGAGCTCTTGTCATGGGGCTGAGTTCCGGCTCAGGGGTTTCTCCGTTTATCGCAGTCGGCAGGTCTGACACCAATACCTCAGGAGGCTTCTGCACGGGTTATCTGCAGGCAGCCCCCTGTGTCTCTAGGACCCCAGCGGCCCCTGCCAGGTCGTTGCAATCGGTGGGTCTGACACCAGTACCTCAGGCGGCTTCTGAGCTATCTGCAGGCAGCTACCTGAGTCTCTGGGACTCCAGTAGCCCCCGATGGGCGGGCTGGAGGTGGCCTGACTTGCTGCAGGTGCCTAGAAGCTTTGGCGGGATGGAGCCTCTCTGCTCTGGAGAATGAGGGGTGGGGTTGGGATCTTCTTGGAGACTCCCAGCTGGTAGGTTTCTCTGTTTGTGGCGATCAGCAGGTCTGCAAACCAGTACCATAGGCGGCTTCTGCGCAGGTGATCTGCACGCAGGCGATCTGCACGCAGGCCCCTGTGTCTGTACGACTAAGGCAGCCCCCACCAGGCCGGCTGTCTGCAGCTTGGTGCGCTGCGGCACGGAGAGTGAAGGTTGGGGGAGGGGTCTTCGCTCTTCTCTGTTCTGAAATTCTTCTTTTCCTCTGTTTCTTTTTTGTTATTTTCCACCTCCTGTTTTTCTCTGAGTGTTTGTCTTTTTGTTGTTGTTGGTCTCTTGGGGAGATTAAGCATTGGACCTCGAACTCTCTTTTTGGTTGGGGAGAGCTATGGCATTTCCCTACTGCCCAGTTGCCATCTTGGTTCCCCCCCACGTGCCCCCCACCTCTGCACCGTTATATGTCATAGACCATGATAGACAATTTGCTCCAGGAAAGTTAGAATGAACTTTTGACTTTAAATGAGCCTCATTATTCTACAATACTGTGATATTCGGGAAATTATGTAATCACTTAACCACGATTAAAAAAAAAAAAGAACCGCGGGGAAGGTAGGGAGGGAAGGGATGGTAGGGGGAAAACAATAGAGGAGGTAACAATGTCCAATAGGAAGTGTAGCATTACCTTGCTCATGTAACTGTAACCCTCTAGATAGTATCTTTACAATAAAAAATTAAAAAAAATATTGTGAGGCCACAGCCTGCCAAGCCTATGTATTACTTGTATCCTTAACCAGTCTGTGTAGAAATTTACAGCCCAGCACGAGGTGTGACAGTCCCTTGGAGCCACTGAGAGACCCTGCTGCTGCTGCTGCTACAGCCTGACAGTCACCTGGAGGAAATCTACATTGTTACCCTGACCACCTCCACCGTGGAAAAAATAGACTAAACTCCTGCCTGATTCCATTTTTTGGGTGGCTTCGCTTTGTCCATGTTACCATATACATACTCTAATTTTATTATGGCTACTCCTCTTGCCAGGAAAACTAGCAAACATTGTATTGCTCCTTCCCTACACTGCTTTGCCACTATGGGACTTCCTAAGCATATATCGGACAACTTTTCAACCTTGTAAATCTTACCAGATTTTTCACTCTACAGATATTCCCTATATTTCTCAAGAACAAGAAATTGTTAAACAAATCAATGGGCTGTTAAAACACCCAATTTTTAAATTAAAATGGGGGAATTACACTCCTTCTCTCCTGTTAATATTCTTCTCACACTTTATTTGTACTAAATTTTTTAACCTTAGATTGTAATGGCCTTTCTGCAGCACAGCGGTTTTGGGGAAAAAAAGAGAGCAAAGAGCTTTTGCCCAAGTTAAGTGAAAGGATCCTTTAACAGGTGATTGGCACGGGCCCCGATCTGCTTTTAACTTGGGGTCGAGAACATGTTTGTGTTTTTTCGCAGGAAGAAAATAAATCTCACTTGTTGCCTGATCATTACATTAGCATTGCGGAGGCTCATTCAGATGACACAAATGCTGACACATTGGGCTTATGTGCCGGATCCCCCGATTGTGCACCCTACAACTTGGGAGGGAGTTGAAGTACTCATTCACATCAATAGATCACCATACAGTACAACCCCCTATCCCTTCATCCAGCACACCAAGATGGGAAATATCTCAGCTTCAAGCATTGGAACTCCTTTATGCTTTACCACCAGCTCTAAGGCTCCATTCCAGGCTGTATTATAATGCTATCCATGAATCATAAAATTTGGATCACGGACGAAAAAAATCAGATCTACAATATGCAGATGACATCTTAGCCAACTGAACACCCAGTTCATGCAAATTCGACTCCATCCTATATGATACCCTGTTGCATTAATTCTTCAAAAATAGTAGTTTCTACAGGAGATTCTCATCCAATAAGGTGCAGGCATGTATAGTCATTTGTTACCAATATTTCTGGAACTAATTCTCAATTAATGGACTGGTCTGGAGCTAATCTTACTAATAAGTACAATCTTGGACTGTGGTGGATGAATGGGCATCCTCAACATCATGTTTGGATGCTGGTGGCTGCACTCAACAACATAACCTGGCCCAATTCACCCTTTAAAAAATAATTATGAGGGGCTGGGAATGTGACTCAGTGGTAGAGCACTTGCCTTGCATGCAGGAGGACCTGGGTTCGATTCCTCAGCACCACATAAGCAAAAAGAAAAAAGCCGGAAGTGGTGCTGTGGCTCAAGTGGTAGAACGCTAGCCTTGAGCTGAAGAGCTAAGGGACAGCATCCAGGCCCAAAGTTCAGGCCCCACGACCGAACCAAAAAAAAAATTATGAGTTCTGTATAACCACCCATGTCATTATGTATAGACTGTTTAATATTTCTGTGGGAGCTAATTATTTTAATGTTACCTGCTCTAATTGTTCTTTTACTAATTGCTTGTATAGTGGCATAACTGAATCCATACTTATTGTTAGACAACCATCTTTTGTTATGCTTCCTGTAAATATTTCTGAAACTTGGTATGAAGATTCTGGCATTCAGGTGTTAAGACAATTGAAAGAACTAATGCTCCCTCGTTGATTTATTGGGCTACTTTAGCTGATGTTTTGGCCTTTATTTCGTTAGCTGCCTCCTCAGCAACAGCTACTGTGACGCTAACACAAAATGTACAAACTGCCCATTATCTTAATCAGCTTGCTCATAATACTACACAAGCCCTACCTCTGGACTCTAAAATGGCAAAAACTGCTAAAAAAAAAAAAACTAAACAATTTCAACACTATATTTCTTCCCTAATTTATGTTAAAGGATTGCTAATGTCATTGTTTGGCCTGGGAATGCTTTTGCTGATGGTTTTACTATGCTTTCCTTGTATTATATGTGCACTCCAAACTCTCTTATGAGTTTAGCCAGCCAGCTACATAAGATCAAGATACATATAAATGAATCCCCCCCCCATACTGAGAGTAACTGCTGCCAGAGAAGGATAAGAGGGGGTGCCAGTCTGACCAACCTAAGACAAGGCCTTCAGCTTCACTCAGAAGTTGCCAATGACATGTAAGGCAGACATGGTGATCCACCCAACCTGGGACAGGAGGGTTCGCTTCTTTAAACAAAGACAGGGGAAGAGATTGGGAGATGACAGTAAAGTTTGTTTGTTTGTTTGTTTGGATCTTGTCCTGGGGCCTGAACTCTGGGCCTGGGCACTTTCCCTCAGCTCTTCAGCTCAGGCTAGCGCTTTAACACTTGAGCCACAGTGCCACTTCTGGCTTTTTTTTCTTTTTGCTTAAGTGGTGCTGAGGTATCAAACCCAGGGCCCCTGTGGTAGAGGACATCACTGTGAGTCTCCTTTACAGCTTTATATCTTTTTTTTGGGGGGGGAGGGTTACTCATGTGGATTGAACTCTGGTCCTTGCTGCTGTGCCTCAGCTCTTCAGCTGAGGGTGAGCACTCTACCACCTGAGCCACAGCCTCACTTCTGGTTTTCTGGTGGTTTATTGGAGATAAGA